GGACGCGGCCGCCGCCACGCTGACCTCGGGAGGGAGGACGCGGCTGGGGCCGGCGGGCATGGCTCCGGCGAGAGCGGGAGCTGCGCGGCAAGAAAAGGCTCGTGTGGGCGTCGGCGTCCTCAGAGTCTCCGTGGCCCATTTAAAACAACTTTCGGGGTGCGAAGAGGCCCCCTCTTTGGGCGTGGCCTCTGGCCCCTCCGATCCCCCAGTTCTGGACCTCCCCGCACTCGCAATCCCGTGGCGTGGGCTGGTCCCGCCCGACCAGCCCCTTTGCCGACCTGCACAGCCCTGGACTGGTTCCTCGTCGGGCCTCTCAGGGAGCCCCCCAAAACGTGGCAGGTAACCAGCTCCTCAGCCTCCGGCCTGACAGTGCCAGGTCTCTGCCCAACGCCCGCCGCCTCCGTCCTCGTCACCAGCCCGGTCCCACTGTCCTGCCGAGGCAGTGACGCGCCAGGAGCTGAGCCTCCACGGGATCCCGAGGCCCTGCAGCCAGGACGCCTTGTGCTGGGCGGGACCTGGGTCTGTGCCCTGTCCTGACGGTCGGGCCTCCCTCGGGCAATTCCCTCACTGCCCTGCTCGCCCTCAGCTGGGGGCCTCCCATGGCCGTGACCCCACGACCCGCCCTCGCGCCTGCGGGGCCCACAGGACGAAGCAGAGCCCGGCCCCTCCCAGCCGAGCGCCTCGCCTGCCCGGAGCCGGCGCGGTCCCCAGTGCTGGCGCGGGCACCCCGGGCACAGACAGGGCGGTGAGGCCGGGCCGCGCATCTCAGCTGCTCGGCCAGCTCCCGGGTGTGGCCGAGTGGGAAGTCGCCGAGCTGGGCCATCCCTGGCCGAGGCGCCCACGGCGCTGTCACTGACTGTCCCCTGACTGAAAACACCCATTCTGTATCAAAACGGTCAGGACGTGACCTTCCCAAGGCACTGCCAGCGGCAGGGAACGCGGAAGAAGAGAAAGGCAGAGGAGCGCGTGGCCCAGGGCGGGAGCCGCGACACTCGGAGCCTTGACCCGCGCGGCGCTTTCGTGGGTGACGAAACACGACCTCAGTTCTGTCAACAGAAGCGAGCAGCGGTGTGCTCGTGGGCCGACGCGCACACGACGGCCAGTCGGTCCCTGGAGAGCCCGCGTGACCCGACGGAGTCGCAGAAGGACACGGCGACGCGCTCCACAGAGTGCTGCTAAATACGCCCGAACACCACGGGCTGCTCGGAAACAAAGCAATGAAAAGTCTGAAAAGGGTGGAAGAACAGGGCCGGGGCCGGGGGCACGGGGGGCGGGGCAAGAACGCCTCGCAAAGTGCATGGCGCCGACGTGGACGTCACCCCGTTACTTCCCACTTCCCTGTGAGGCCGGGGTTTCCGCTCGGGAAAGCATCCTGCTCCCGGAATCGGCATCGCAGGTCCGCCCTGGGAGTCCTCCAGCCGCAGGTGGCCCCCGCACCCAGGACACGAGCTTGCTGAGGCCTCAGGCTGCTCCTTAGAGCCAAACCTTCATTTTTATTATGGATTCGGTTTCAAACCAGATCAACCGCCGACGAAGGCGGGAAGGGGCCAGCGGCGCTCCCCACAGCACTGACCGCCCACCCGCCCGTGTCCCCGGCAATCTGCTGGCATGTCCCCTCCTCCACACGCAGAGGCGCCTTCTTCAGTGGACTGCAGCTGGCGCTGGGGACCCAGAGGCCCCATCACACAGGGACCAAGCCTGCCGTCCAGCCCTGGCCGGAGCAGGGCCCAACGAGCCCAAGACAGACGCTGACCCTCCAGTCACCGTCTCTTCATGGCAACCAAGTCCCCACAAACAGCCCCCCTGGCCCAGGGACGGACTGTGACGACTGAAAGGAAGGACGGGCACAGGGACGGGCCTCGAGTCCAGTCAGGTGACTGTGCTCCCTGGGGAGCCTAGAGGACAGGACATGTTTTCATTTTGCGTTCAAGTGACTGGAGTCACAGCAAGGGCCCTGGACGTCTCACACAACGAAGCAGACGTTGGTGGCGTCCCGCCCCTTCCCGGGACTCCTGCCGCACGCTGATTCGGGGGCGAGGGGGGAAGGGGGCCCGTCAGAGGCCAGAGAGCCGAGGACGCGCTCCAGACCCCGCAGGGCCGCGGGGGAGAGGGGGCTGACGTCAGGAGACGCCCCTGGAGACCTGCACGGCCGAGGCCCCTGGGCGGCGACGAGGCCGAAGGCTGCAGGCACGAGAGGCGGCCAGGCTGCTGCCCGCCAGGCCGGAGGCCAGAGGGGTCTCCTCTGGGGACTTCAAAGGCAAAATGCAGACCTTGAGAGGGAAGTGGGGGCCCCAAGAAGAGGCCTTGACGGGGCTTCTGGTCGACCTCCAGTGCCCACTGAGAGACGAATGAAGACAGCAAACCAGAGGAAGAGTGTGGGTTGAGGGGAGAAGCTGTCACGGAGGAAAGTGGGACCGTGGGCAGAGCCCCCATGAGACGCCGTCTGCACACAACCAGAAAGGCCCCTGGACATCACAGCAGGACAGCAGAGGCCAGGCCGGTCGGGGCTCCCAGGAAGCTCGAACCCGGGGTTGGGGGCGCAATGGCAGGCAGGGAGCTTGAGGTGGCTGGGCAGCGTGCCTGGAGCAGCCCGGTGGATCTGAGCTCCTGCTGGAGGGACGCCTCCCAGAGGCTGAAGTGGCCCCAGCAGAGGCCCCTGCTGGCATGTCCCACTCTGGAGAGAAGCTCTCACAGCTCAGGCCTGAGGTCTGCACAGGTGAAGCCCAGCAGCTGAGGATCAGACCACAGGTCACAGATCGCCCGCTGAGAGCCGGGGCTGGGCCGCCCCAGGGAGGGACGAAGCCGAAGACGGCAGGGGGACAGGACACGCACCGGGGAGCACAGGTAAGCCACAGAAACGTCAGGCACGAAAGCCAGAGTGTCTGGGGGTGAAATACAACTGTTGGGATACACCCGTGACGCACGAGCACGAGTTATTTCC